CTCCCAGCTTCAGCCATAGCCCAGCCCTGGGCACCGGGGGCATCAGGGTGAGCCAGCAGGTGGGAATGTTCGCGTGCACACTCGCTCGCTCCCTCTTTCTCTGCCCTGGAGCAGACCTCAGTCGGGTGTGCTCCCAGCTTCTCCCCCGATGCCTTTACCTTCTCTGCTAGTTCCACCTGCTCCTCAGTGTCTGCCCCCCGGGGTGGGGGCAGAGGGTGGGGTGGGAGGTGTGGGGGTGGCAGTGTTCTCCTTGGGATGTCCCTGTGTCAGGGCCTCTAGACTTCAAAGCTTCGAGACCTGAAAAGCACCCTGTGGGGGTGGGGGCAGCACTACTTGGACCCCCTTCCTGTACTGTGCTACCTCCCCCAGCCCTGCCTCCCCCCTACCCGGCAGGTGGCTATGCCATCTGTAGGACTGGCACAAGTGGAGCGCTGAGGTCAGGTGAGTATAGGCTCAAATCCTTCTGTGACCGGCCACTAGCCTCTCTGAGCCTTTGTGTCCTTGTTTCTAAAAATGAGGATACCCCACACCTTTCTCATGAAGGCACGGGGAGGCACAGGAATATCACAGGTAAGGTACCTTGAAACGGTAGGTCTATGTTCTCTCTTTCTCACCTCTGGGTCCCAGCCAAACCCAGAGACTGCAGAGGCCACAGACATGAACCCTTGCTTCTCCTGACCTCTCGCCATGGACTCTCAGCACGGCCCTGGACGAGCCTGCTACCCCCACCCCATCGCCCGCCTCCCTCCCCCGGGAGCAGAGACACCTAGTTTCAGCCCTAATAATACCTGAATGAGATTTATAGGACACCTTCCTCCCCAGAGTGCCACGTTGCTCACACGTTGTTCTTCTTATCTTTAGATTGCCCCGGGAAGTGAGCGATGGGACAGGCACTTTTCAGCTCTTATGGAAATGGAGACAGAGTTGAATCCTGGTACTTGCCAAGGTCCCAAGGTCGCAGGATTGGAATACAGAGCCACGCTGTCCCCAGGTCGCGAGACCTCCTCAGGAGGGGGGAGCCCAGCATGGAGGGAAAAGGGAAGAAGCAGCCACAGCCTTGGGGCTGCAGAGCCCTGGGCAGGGTAGAGGACGAGGACCCAGCAGTCCTGCCCCTGGGGGTCATCTGGGACTTGGCGGGGGGGGGGGGGGGGGGGGGATGTGCCCCAGCCCACCCCAGGGGGCCTTTGCCTTTGGCTGTGGGCCTCACCTCTCCTCCACCCTTTCTGCCCCATCACACCTCATCAGAGCTGTTCCGAATCTGATGGGCTGTGGAGTGCTCTGGCCAGACCTCCGGCCAAGGGAAACTTTGCCACAAGCATGTCCACCCCGGAGACGGAAGGCAGTGTGCTGGGAAGTTGCCAGCCTCGTAGGAGTTAACAGGAGTCCCCCTCCCCAGCTGTCCTCCCCTTGGTGCTCCTCTTCCTCCCTCCTCCCGCTCACAGCAGGCAGGGCCTGGACCGGGGGAGCTGCTGTGCTGTTGCCAGGGAGCCGAGAGGCACACTTGAGCTATGCAGGCAAAGGCCCGGCCTGTCAGGGTGTCTGGGATGAGCCACCGGCCTGTGCCGCTGGGCTCCGAGGCGTCTCGCCTCTTGTTCTGTGCCTGAGAACGGCGAAGTCTGGCGAGGTTCAAGGGCAAGCTCGCCATTCATTGGTCAGGGGTTCTCGATGTCCATCGCTTCCAGGGATGGCCCCCCTTCTTCCTGGGTGCCTTTGGTCAGGACCACATACCCTCCTCCTGCTGCCCAACCCCCCTCCAAAGGCCCCTGATAGGACAGCCACAGTGGCTGCAGGAAACCCTTGAGGCAGGATCCCGGCCTTGCTGGCCTGCTCTCCATTCTCAGGGCCCCTGTGGGCCCCACTCCCCTCTGACTCAGAGCACCCTTGGGCCACCAGCCCAGACAGGAGACCAGAGCACTGTCCCAAAGACCGAGGCCTTAGATTCCTTCACACCCACATGGCTCTGTAACAGTGCCATCACGTACACTGTTGCTAGGGGAGTGTCAGTGGTACCGTATTTTCCAAAATGGGGCAATATCAAAATGTAAAACGGACATATACTTGGTCACAAACAAGTTGCACTACTAGGAATTTGCTTTGTGGCTATATTTGTGAAAGTTCCCAAAGAAGAGTATACAAGGCTGTTCACTGGAGGATTTCCTCCCAGTAGTGTGAAGTGGGGTGAGCGCTGTGGCATAGCAGGTCAAAGCTGCCACTTGGGACATCAGCGTCCCACATGAGAGTGTTGGCGTCCTGGCTACTCTGTGCTTTGGATCCAGCTCCCTGCTAATGCCACCTGCAAAGCAGAAGATGACGGCTCCAGTACTTGGGCCATGCCACCCTCATGGGAGACCCGGATGGAGTTCCTGGTTCCTGGATTCTGCTTGGCCCATCCCCGGCTATTGCAGGTATTTGGGGAGCAAACCGGCAGGTGGAAGACAACACATTGGGGCGCTTTCTCTGTTGCTTTGCCTTTAAAATAAATAAAAATAAACATTTTTTTCTAAACACAACCATCAGCGTGCTTGTAGATGGATTGTTTCTGGAAATGCGTGTTGGTTGGCTCCCTCTGGGAGTGGTAGGGATGGAGGATCCACTCTTCCATACTGTTGGGTTTTCCCTCCATGCTTGTTTAATTCTTTCACTGAAAACTGTTAAGAGGCTATTTAACAGAATAGGCTCAACTTCTGCCGACCAACCTGGGGTAGGAGCTGCAGGAGTGTGCTGGTGCTGTTGCAGGAAAAGCCATCCCTGAGGCACTGGTGGCCTCCGCCACTGGCCACTTTCAGGTGAACAATCACATCAGTATGCTGGCTGCTACTGTTCATGAAACACCTACTGAGTGCCAGGCTTACTCTGGGTCTTGCTTCATGCCTGAGTGTGATTGGCAGGGTGGGGGCGGAGCCAGGAGCATGGGAGAGCTGGAGGAGGCCCAGTGCTAGCTCTGGGTTTCTCTCCCATACATGTTGTTCCTCCACCCTCAGGAGCTGCCTGTTTTAGGGAGGAGGCCCTTGGCTACTCCGGGGTGGTTGGTGCCGGGCAGTAGATCCCAATGGGGGGGGGCGAGGAGTGTCCATACAGGCCAGGGCCCAGTCTGCTGGGGGTAAGCTGACTTGGGCAGGGTGGTGGAGGAGAGTGGACCAGGCTGTGGAAGAGCCTATTTGCATAGGCAACCAGTGCCTGGAGAGGAAGATACCATCAGGAAGAAGGCTTGGGAGCACTGGTCACCACCCCTGCTTCCCAAAGAAGAAATGGCCCGGAAAGCGTCTGAGTGGCCACACAGAATCCCCTACACCTGTCCCAAGTCAGGGGCTATAGCAGCTGGCAGAGATCTCCAGTGGATCCCTGATGTCCTGAGACTGGGGGAGGGAGCCACGGAGTTGAGCTTCCCAGGGTTTCCTGGGAAACTTGTGGGGATACTAGGTACCTGAGCAGCAACTGGGTCATCCCAGATCAGCTGTGGGGCTGGAAGAGCAGGGAGGAAAGAAACACTAAAACCCACCAAGTGGAGTAGACTGTCAGCGGCCAGGCCATGATTCCTTGTCAAGTCATGGCTATGGGCACTACTGATATTCCCACTTTACAGAAGAGGACACTGAGACCCAGAAAAGCTAGGTTAGACAGAGAGTAAGTGCCAGAGGCCAGAGCCATGATTTCAAATGAAGTCTCTGTGGCTCTACACTCTGGATCCCCAAAAGACTCCCCAAAGAGCATTCTGAAGTACCTCCAAAGGTGCCCAGTTTGGCTGGGCCACGCAGAGGCGGTCCCCTCCTTGTCAACTCCCACATATAGAGAGATGCAAGCCCCTCTCCTGCAACCTCACATCGTCCCTTGCTTGAGGTCTTGGCCCAGTTCCATCTAATGCCATCTATCTCCTGGAGTGCGCTCAACTCGGGGACCGGGCTGGAGGAAGGGGTTCCAGAGCCTCATCCAGACTGGATGCTTTTGGTTATCCCTCTGCCAGATGAGCAGCTACCCGGGCTCCACGTTCTCCTTGGGGTCCTTGACCTGAAGGAGCCTGGCAGGAGGGAGGAGGGAGCTCCCAGGCCTGCTCCAGGGCTTGTGGGGGCTGGCTGCGGGGCCCCAAGGAGGACAAGAGAGAATGCAGAGATGGTGCCCAGGCAGCTTGAGCCACTGGACTCTTCCAAGGCCAAAGGATGCTGCCAAGAGAGGACAAGATCTCTCTGTCTCTCTCTCTCACTGTCCACTCTGCCTGTCAAAAAAAAAAAAAAAAAAAAAAAAGAGGACGAGAGAAGTTCTGGGGAAGACCTCTTCCCGTCTCAGGACACTGCTGTCTTTCCTGGCCCAGCCTGCAAATAAAGTCTCTTTGCAAGGCATTCTGTGTCTCCAGCCAGTTTCTGTGTGAGGACAGTTAAAATTCTGCCACCAGCTAAGACAACTGCTGTTTTGAGGTGTGGTGGGAACCTGGTGGGGGTGGGGAGGAGGGATCAAAAAGCTTCATAAGGCTGCGGGGAGACTGACCTAGGCTAGGGTCATCTGGGGAAGACAAAGGCTGTGGGCGGCCCAAGGCTCATCCTGCCTTGAGCCTGGAGGAGAGGAGAGGGGGAGGGTGTGTGTGTGTGTGTGTCTGGATTGGGGGCCAGTCCCCAAGCCCCTCCTAAACTTCCCATCCCCAAAACCCTATAAAACTTAATCCCATCTGATAGACCCAGAAATGGGCTCAAGGGGGCTAAGAAGTACGCCAAGCCACACAACCAGGGTTCATCTCCGGGCCAAAATGCGATACGTGGGAGCTGGGGGTCCTCTAACAGTCCTGACAAGTTTTGTCATGTCTGCAAAATTCACAATCATGGCGTTCATTCCCACAAGGCCCTGGGACCCCAAATAATAACACTCGCTTGTGCCAGGTGCTCTCCCGAGGTCTTGCTGGTTCCCTAAATCACAGCTTAATCCTCAGATGTCCTTGTGCACTACTGAGCACTAAATTCCAGTTTAACCCATCACGAGAGCCAGGCTGAACTGGCCATTCATGTGGGGCCAGGATGCCGCCCAAGCGTGTCTGTCTGTCCAGTTGCAAGGTACTTAGCCACCTTTGGCTGGATCTCGCCAAAGGGCCAGCGCCCCCTCAGCCTAGCCCCTGCTCCGCGACCGCAAATGAATGGCTTCTCACTCTCCCCACGGCAAGCCCGGGCCGCGTCCGTTTGGCTACGGACCGGTCCAAACCACTGACCGGCAGGCGGCGCTTCCCGGGACTCGTGACTCCCCCCTCAAGGGGCTGCAGGCTCGAGCCCCAGGGCATCGGGAGGAGCCGGGACCTCAGGCGGGAGGGAGAGGTCTGGGGGGCCTGCGGCACAAAGAGCTTTTTATTCAAATTTGTTTAGAGTTTCGCGAATTTGCATGAAAAATGTGTGAGAAAAGCCAGCTCCAGTGACCTCATCCGCACCTGCCATTAACGTTCAATTAGCCGCTGAATAGCGGCTGCCGACGCGACGTGCAGAGAATCCGGCCTGCCCCGCGCAGCTAGGGCGGCGGGCCTGGCCCGGGATAGGGCGAGTCCCGGGGAAAGGGGCGGGTGCAGGGTCTCCGGCCGAATCCCCGCGCCAGAGCCACCGGGCATGGGGGGCACCCCGACTCTCCGAGGGGACGCGGGGACCTCAGGACTTTAAGCCCCAGGCAGTTTGGGGCGCCCCGGCGCCCTGGAGATGCCCGGCTACCCTGGGCGCAGAGGACAGCGGGCTCGCCCCCGACCCGGGCCCGCAGGTGGATGGTCGAGTGCTGTCCCAGCTCAGACGGGCTTCCCCGCCACCTTCCGGACAAAGTGTCAAGTACAAGTTCAAGTTCAGGGCCAGGCCTGGGGGGGCGCCGAGCCTTCCCCGGTCGCCTTTGTTCTCCGAGAAAACCGCTCCCACGTCCCCTCCCAGGCGGGGCCCGGCAGAATACCCCCGCCCCGCCCCACCGCGCCCCGCAGGAGCCGCCTTCTCCCGCCGGCGCGGCGCCTGTCCCCGGGTCCCGGCGCCCCTGCTCGGGGCCACCGAAGGGTCTAGGGGCTCGGGGCGGGGGGAGGCGCGATCAGAGCCCGTGGGAGCCTCCCCAGCCCCGCAGTCCCAGCGGCAAACTGCGCTCGGTCGGACGGATGCCCGCGCTGAGGTAAGAGCCCTTGGCGGGGTTCGCCCCGCACCCCTTGGGTCCCTCCCCCGCCCCACTAGGCGACCCCAGAAGCGGGACTGAGGGCTTCGAGGCGCACAGCGGCGGATGGGTTGGGCCGCTCCGCTGGGCCTCCGGGGGGCGCGCTGACGCTCCCGTGTGCGGGGCAGCTCCAGCCCTAGGGTGGGGTTCAGAGGGCAGGGAGCCCCGTGAAGGCCTTTCCCAAAGGGGCCTGGCTCACCTGTCCCTGGTCAATAATCCCCTGGGACTCCTCTTTCATCTCCCCTTCTGGCTCTGTCGTTCTCACGGCTCCTTTCAGGTTTTGGTTGGAGGGGACACCATTTAGAATCCAGCTCGGCAGGCCCCAGGCCCCTCTTGGAGACGTGGAGAGGGGTGTGTGTGTGTGTGTGTGTGTGTGTGTGCTGAGGGGGATCAGCTGTGCCCACTCCATCCCTAAATCTGCCCCCCACCCCCAGCTCCTCAATTAAGGTTCTGGGCGCAGGGGCTGCCAGTGGCCGCGCAGGGAACGTGCAGGGCCTTTTCCCTGTGTGTAGACTTCTTGTGGTCCCTGGATCTTGAGTGGGGACAGGTAGGGATGCCCCTCGACCGACCAGCACGTAGCCAGGCTGAGAACGCAGAGGGCCCCTCCTGGACAGCCCGTGACCTTGCCTCCTGTTGCTACCTTCCTCTCCCTCGGGTGATCCTTGGAGATCTGTAGGGTACAGCTTTACAGGCAGTTTCTACCATCCAGAGGATTTCCTTTCTAGAGTCACAGCAGGTGACAAGGCGCTCACTGGGGGGTGGGGGGGGGTGGGGGGTGCTTTTTCCCTGCAGCCTCAGGCCTCCCTCCCCTCTCCTCCCTGATTTCACCCCTCTCCATCTCCCCAGGCCAAATTGTGGCCAGTGCCTCCTCCTCCAGGAAGCCTGCACAACCCCTCCCCCCATCTCTCCCTCTCTTAACACCTTCAGCAAAGGTTCAGCTGAACTGCCAAGTGCTTGCTAGATATACGATTCATGAACTAGTTTCCGGAGGGATGAAAGAATTTCTGGATGAATAAATCAAAATGAGATGCATGCATTGAAGAAGCACCGAGAATCGAGTTGGTTTTGTTTTGTTTTTGCTACTGACCTGAGCATAAGATAGCATTCCCTAGGGACTCCTTCCCCACTGTCCCATCACATGTGAGGTCTCATTCGCAAACAAGATCCAGGGTGACAAGGCTGGTTCCATGTGCTCTGTTAAAAGGAAAGGGGGGGAAATCATACACAAATCGCACTTTTACAAAATGTTAGGTAAATGCCAGCTCTCTCCTCATGCAGCCCCCCCCCCCCAGTCCCCAGAGGGCCTGGGAAAGCTGAGGTTTCGCCCACTGTAAGAGCCCTGAGCCCCTCCTGCCAGCCTCAGGGGGGCCACCAGGACCTGGGCTGAAAATGGAGACTGTGACCTACCTACTGCAGTTTTGGGGCCCCCGATGATTCATCACTGACAAGCTGATGTCTGTGGAGCCCGGGAAGATGTTTACATTTGTTTAAAAAGGGAAACGGATTTTTCCCCCCCCTGCAAAACTGGCCACAGTGGCTGCCCTACACTTTGTCTCAACTTCTGGCCCGAGCTCTAATCTGATTCACCCCGGGTTGTTGTGACACCTTGGACAAGCCACTATTTTTAGTCCAAGGCTCCCCAGCCACAGCCTGCAGCAGCCGGAGAGAGGGGCAATTGATTCTTGCGGTGTCTTCACTCACTCACTCTCCGCATCCAGTGAGGCTGGGTCGTTATCGGCCCCCTTTGCAGAAGGGAAACTAAGATGTGCCAGGGTTGAGAGCTTTGCCTCCAGTCTGACAACTGGAAAGAGGAGCAGGCGGGCTTTGAACTTGGGAGGCTGGTCTAGCTGGGTGTGTGCTAACTGCTCTCACACCCCCCACATTGTACCTGGGTCCCCACTCTCATAGGCAAGAAGGAATTGCAGATGGGAGGGGGATGCTGAACAGCCCAGCCTTTGGTCCTCTCCTTTACAAACCATATGACTGTTGCTAAATCTGACCGTTGCTGAATCTCCATTCCTCACCTGTAAAATGGGCTCAGGGACTTGTGAAGGTGAAGTCAGGTGCCGTGTTTGGGCCAGTACCTGAGGCTTTGCAAACAGGCACAACAACCAGTGACAGCCACAAACCACCCTAATGGCAATGTCACTGTCAATTTGCATTTTCAAAAAACAATGCCTCGCCCCTCCCCAGAGGAAATAAAAGAAAAACTGAGCCAGGAGGGCTCTAAGTGCTTTAGCTCTACCCTGAAGGCTGGTAACCCAACAGGCCGCTGGATACTTGAAATCTTGTCCCTCTCGGGCCCTAAGCACCTGGGGAGGGGTGTGTGGATGGCTGAGCAAATCGCAAATCAGAGGTCCACACAGGAGACTCTTAAGAAGAGAGATGTGGAGCGTGCACTGTTTTCCTTGCTTGGCCGTAAACTCTGACCACTGCCTCTAGATAGGACAGTAGGCTAGAGCCTGCTACAGTAGCAGCTCTGCCTTCTTCAGTTGAATTACTATGTGTGTATGTGGGATCTGTTCTGAGCCAGGCATTGTTTAAGGCACTGGGATATAGCGGAGAGCAGAACGGAAGCTGCCCTCAGGGAGCTGCCGTGTGCAGACGTGTGCGTGTGTGGTAGCAGAGGGGACACAGCAGCAGCTCTGTACAGGACCCCGGGGGTGGGTGGGAAGGGTGGGCTGGGCCTCCTTAAAACCAAAGACTGGAGCTTTCACACTGCTGTCCCCACCTGTGGGCATCACTAAGGAGAGTGCAACATGGACAGAGACTGGACTTCTTCCCGTATCAGGAGGCAAAAAGATTCTGCAGGCTAAGTTCCCAGTGAGCAGGCAATTCACAGGTGCCTGCCTTCTCCCTGCCACTCCCATGGGATGCTGGGACCCCGGGGAGGCTGACATCCTGGCCATGGTACAGGGACAGAAGCCAACAGGACTAGGAAGAGGCGAGGCTGTGTCCAGGACTCAGGGCAAATCAGTTAACCTGTGGCTGGCAGCTCTCAACTGTCTGTTTCAGAGATGAGAAACTGAGGCTCAGAGAGACTGAGCCAAGTGGTTCAAGGTCACACAGCTAGCAAGTGGCTGGTCTGGGTCAGACTTGAACACAGGCAGCCTGGCTCCGGGGTCTGCACCTCCACCTCCATTATCAAACTGCTTATCTAAGAGCTGAGGGATTTAGAAGGACTTGTGTGGTACCCTAGTGTGAAACCCATTCTCAAGAGTACTCAGAAGCCAGCGTTAAGTTTCCATGTGTCCCCTCCCTAGAGATGTCTGTGGCACTCTCCCATTTGAGACCATCCCAGAGTCAGAGTGGGGGGGGGGGGATCTGCTCCTGGTATGTGCCTAGCGCAGAACAGGGATTAGTGACAGTGGCATTCCATACTTTATTTTCCCACAAGACCCCCAAAAGGTGCCCCACCCTGCTTGGAATTTGAGAAAGAGGGTGTTGGAGAACACCTTGAGCTTGGCATCAGAGTGCTAGGAAGAATCCTGGCTCCGCCTGTCCGCGCTGGGGTGTGTGTGGAGGGGAGGGGGTCTTTGGGCAATCTCAGTGTGCCCTTGAGCCTCTGTCTCCTGTCTGTTGAAGGAAGCTGACCGTGTCTCTTTGGGAGCAGACAGTCGCTGGGGTGGAGATCTCGCTCACCCAGTCTCAGCATAGCCAACGCTCCTGGTTTGTTCCTAGGCCAGAGAAGCCCCATTGCTTTCATCACAATCCCAGGGAGAGGACGGAAGATAAGGGAAGGAGCAGGGATGGGCTCCCTTGGAGTCTCCCTCCCCAGGGTCCACCTGGCAGGCCACCTCTGTCCTACACCCCAGATGGGCTTGCTGCAGAGAGGATGGGGGGAAGGGAGAGGGGTCGCCCCAGGAAGCGAGGCTCTGCTTCTAGCCTGGTGCCTTCTGGTTAGAACCTGGCACCACGGAGCTGGCCATGAACAGAATGTGAGGTTAATAAGATGTTCCTGGCTTTTCCGGGTGGAGATAGAGGCTCTCACACCAACCACCTGAAATACAAGGCGCTGGTGATGCAATAGCTGGAGTAACAAAAGCTCTTCGGCGTGGAGCAGGCATTGGAGTTAAGCTTGGGAAGCCCGTATCCCCTGTCGGAGTGGTTTTCTTAGAGTTCCCATCCAGCTTCTTGCTAATGTGCTGGTGATGGCCCAAGTAATTGGGTTTCTGCCACCCACAAAGGGAGACCAGGATGGAGTTCCTGGCTCCAGGCTTTGGCATGGCTCAGCCGATGGAAGATTTCTGTCACTCTGCCTTTCAAATAAGTCAATCAATCTTGAAAACAAAACGAAAAAAATCTTTGGGATTCCTGGCTCCACCTTCTCCCAAATGGGACAAGCCTCTTCGAGAGTAAGAATTCTGATCACGGAGGATCTGAATTATGGGCATTTTCCAGCCGATCTATACCTGGGGGTCTTCAGCCTAACTCACTAGACTTCCTGGTAGAGCCCCGCGGCCAAAGCCCCCCCCCCCCCCGGAGGGGGTGAGATGCGCAAATCAGGAGCCAGATGCCTCTAAGGGCCCCAAATGCATTTACCCTGTGACGTTCTTAGAAAAACAAACCTAGGGAGGATCGGCTGAGGGTGGGGCATCCCAAGAGTTAGGGATCAAGGATCGCAAGGGGCGGATGTTTCCTTGGGATTCGTATTCATTGTATTTCTATGATTTATTCTAAATCTGCAATTCGAAGAATCGCAGTCGCGGGCGGTCCTGTCGATGGCACTCCTCTCGGTCCCACCTGCACCTTTTAGAAGTACCGTAATACAGACCCTGGGAATGAAAAAGGGGAACACTGTTTTGCGACGTGTCATCTTTAGCCTACTGCCCACCTCTGGCCCCATTCGGATCTATATCCCCTGCCTGCAGAGGTCGGCAGCCGTCTAGCCACGTGGAGAGGGGAGGCCTACTTTGGAGACGTGGGCTGTCTCCCGCGCGCTCCGGGAGCTAGGACGTGGA